TTTAAAAATTACAATTATATATTAATTGATAATTTTTTTTTTTTTTTGCAGACGTTACCCTTTCAACTAAAGTCAATGGTATCATCTTTATTAATTCTGATATATTAGCTGTTGCAGATTATAAAAACTGGTTCTTAAAATATATTTTATTAATACAAAAAATAATAAATAAAAATTAATAAACGAATTATTTTCATGAATATTTTAATTTTATTTACAGGATGGAGACTAATAAAGAAAAACTTGAGAAAATTGCAGAAAATAAGTAATTTGTTGTTGTCAGCCCGCCAAAGTTATCGTCTCCAATTCTGGACAAATTTATCCCAATTGCAGATTTAGTGGGAGTGTATTTAGCGGTAATTTATTTTCATTCAATATATAAGTAATATAAATATATTTTTTCCTATTTTTTAATAAATACATTGTTCTTTTATTATTTATTAAATATAAAAAAAATTTTCCAGAAAAAAATTTATTGGTCCAAGCACAGTGGAAAATCATTTCCAAAAATCAGAAATTTTGGTATATGGCTTGCAACAACTGCAAGAAAACATCCAACGTGGACTTTGGAAAAAAATATAAATGTCGATTTTGTAAATGCGAACATACAAAAGTTGTTCCAAGGTAGCTTATACAATGAAACATATGTTCAATTTTTACGGGGTATTAATATTTTATGAAACAATACATAATACATACTATGTTTTCAAAAAAATAAAATAAAAATTCATAGAGTAAATGCTTTTGTTCATCTTGAGGACAAATCTGGATGGTTGAATGCAAGCATTGGGGATACGGCAGAAACATTATTGGAAACTACTGCAGCTGATATAATGAACCATTTCGAAAAGGTAAAATTACAATTTTAACATTCTTTAATATTATTTGCTTCAATACTTTAAGATTTTAATTCTATTACAGGAACTAGATGTAGAAATCGATAATGTGATCAAAATGGAAAGTGAAAATGAAGTACAATTTTATCTGAAGGTTACACACAAACGCCAAAACCCTCCAGAATATCACTTTGAAATTATCTTTGCATTAAACTCTTTAATAAAAATCACTGGGAACAAGCACTCTACAACTGTCGAAAGCAATTCAATGAACTGCAGGAAAGTTCGGAGAAAAAAATTTCAAAAGGCAAAAAAAAGATGTGTATTACTGCACTTTCTCCAAATACGAAGGAAATAACTACGACAAATGTAAAATGTCTCTTTTTGAAACAGCACAAGAACCAGATACGAAATCCAAGAAAAAGCCTCACAAAAGTTATGAAACAAACGATGAGCCAACTTCGCAAGCTTAAAAATCACTACGTTTTTTTGTACTTTTGAATTAGTTGACAGTTTTTGAAGTGTAAATGTCAACTAAAAATAGTTTTCTACTTTAGAAACTAAGTTTCAATATGTGTAATCTGTTATGTAAAAACGATCTTTATATTTTTGTAATATTACATGTTGCACCTTTGATTACATAAATGTGACTAAATTTATAAAACATTAAATAAAAAAATAAAAATTCAACCATTAAATACATCACTTTTACTAATATATGTATTACACTTGTATTTTCGCAAAACAACACTTAGACAATTTATTAAATTTTGCAGCTTCTTTCTATCTTTGTAAATTTACCAATTACTAATTTGTTAAGCAACAACCAAATTTATACAACTGTAAATATAATAAAAACACTTAAATTCCAATGCATAAGTATTAATTAAATGAATTAAAACAAACTATACTTAAATTCAATTTACATTTACACATTGCAACTACTCACATTTATTCATCCCACATTCCAACTACCAACATTTACTTATCCTTCATTCCAACTACCAATATTTACTCACGAATATTTATCTATGAATGCATTCAAAACGCAACACAAATTCAACCATTTTTTTTAGCAAGCATTTCATTTTGCAAGCTTCCAACACCAGCTTCTCGCATAATCAACGATCGAAATAGGTAATTTTCATAAAATATGTGACAAAAATAAATTTAGAATGTATTTATGATATAAAAAATATGTAATTTAGCATACTATTATGTTAAAAAAGCAATTGAAACTTAAGTCTATAGTGTTAAGTTCTTATGTGATAGAAAAAATTTGAGGTTGGAAAAGTTGTAGAACCATATTAACTTGTTTAATTTGTTTTATTTTAAACGTTTTTTTAACTGAAAATTGTGGGTAGTGAGCAGCGCGGAGTACCTCGGAGTGAGGCACTCAGCGCTGCGCCTCACAAAGATGCACTCCGTGCAGGCAGTCCACGCTACGCCGAGTGCTTCAAAAAGAAGCAGCACGCGGAGTCAGACTTCGTGCATCGCAACTTTTTTTTTTTTTTAAAGATGATGTTCAGTGTCAAATAATTTTTTTTATTTTTTTATTAGGTGATTTATTTAGTTTTTTTTACACCATGCGCAACGCGAAATGTGCGTCCGTGATGAGCGAAGTAAGGCACTCCGTGCACACTTCACTCTGCGCGAAGTCAGTCCGTATATGACGGAGTTCTCAAATATGTAGTGTCACTCCGTAAGTGCGATCTGCTCACATTGTATTTTCGTAATACTCTTAGCAGAAAAAAACAAATTTTCATGAAGAAAATAACATTTTATGACAATTTTGTAACAAATACACATAATTATACACAATAATATCAAAATTTTCATGAAAACTTCATTTTGTTTAAATAATTACATTACTAAAAAATCAATAACACTTCGTTCCAAATCCCACCTCAATATTTACTAAATATATATCAATTCGTAACTATTTAATTTTATGAATAACTTCTTAATATCCCACGAAAAATATTATAATCTTATCCACAATCATCATAGTTTTTTACATTTTTCCTTTATCAAAGTATTTATGCAATTTATACTTTTTTATATATATTCTTTTTCCAAGTCAAATAATCAATTACATTTAGATAAATCAATTTAACAAGACATTTATATGAACATATTTAAATTATTTAAAGCATCAAATAATTTATTAATTGTAATCTATATTCGATTAGAAGAGTCATGTATCAACAAATTTAAATTGAAACATTAATATTTGAATCTCAACAAAATAATTTTAAAAAAAGGAAGTTTTTTTGTAAAAAAATAGTTCAATTTCATTTTAATCACAAAACTTTTATTCTTTCTAACTATGCATCACCAAGCCAACTTCTACTACCAAAAATAGATATTGCTCAACACGGTAAGGGAGAAATAAAATACAAATATAACAATGTACCAACAAATGATCACTATTAATTTTACAATAATACTCTGTATCGTAGTAATATTAAACATAGTTTAAATTTTAACATGTTATGGGTCATATTAAATCAATCATAATTCATTGTATTTAATTGCACTTATAATACAATAATACTCTGTATTGTAATAATATTAAACATCAGTTTAATAGTAATATTGAACATTAGTTTAAATTTCAACATGTTATGGGTCATATTAAATTGACTATAATTCATTGTATTTAATTGCACTTATAATTTAATGTTATTAGCTATTAGTGCTTCATCTAAACTAATTTTTGGCACATCCTAAATTTCATCCACATATAATGTGTTACTGGATGTGTCTTAGGTCTAAATAAGCTCTACAAGGCTCAAACCTCTGATGAGAAAGTAATTCCATAGCCATATATTTAACATAAGAGTTGTACTCTAACTTAGTTTTCTTTATTTATAATTCTTTGTAGGATTGTCTTTGACATATAAAAGAATAGAAAAGTCAGTTACCAAAAAACTGTTAAGAAACCCCTCTATTCGTTCCTAAGGTAATATTCCTCACACTTATTCTTCTTATTATGTTTATTCTATGTGCTTACTTGTATAGGTTGAACAAATATTTTTCACCTTTCTCATTAGATGAATGACGATGAATATTATTTTTCATTAGATAAATGGTGATTAATGTTGTTTGAGTAAACATATTAGGCAAAATAGAAAATGAAGACGTGTTTTAATGTTGGAGTAGTCAATACTAAAGTTCTTTATTATCAAGCATATGTGATTCCTATCATATACCTCTTTATGTTCACGTACAAAATTTACGTTAACTTTATATATATATATATATATTTTATGATTAATAAATACTTTTTAAAATAATTTTTGCAGATGTCGTTAGAATACATATTATCTCCAAATCAATGATTTTCTGCTACTATTACTCAATTTGCAAATCATCAATACCTTCTAGATTTTGTAGAATTTATAGATGGAGACGATCAAGTTTCTTTATTATGCAGTCACTTTCAAGGATTTATCTATGGAAGTATGTATAAAGAACAAAATGAAAAATTTAGTAGCAAATTAATATACGAGTTTATAATAAGACTTATCAACTGCGGCAAAAATAATGAAGTTTGGGTACGATTAGATGATCATGTGGCCCATTTTGGCATGCAAGAATTTTGTCTTATTACCGGATTACTCGCCTTAGAGATGAATACTTTGATGGTTCAAAAAGAATTACTATGAAAAGACTTTCTGAAGTATTTCACATGTGTGAAAATCAAGAAGATAAATTCAAGTTAGGATTAGTTTTGTTCGTCGAATGCGTTTTAAAACCAAATGGAAAACACATCGATTTCAAAACCCTTGGATTGGTTGAACAACTTGATGAATTTCTTATGTATCCGTGGGGACGTAAAACATACTTTGTTTTACTAAATTCATTGAAAGAATCACACATCAAAAGAATACGAAGGATGCAACAAAATGACCAAACAGATTGTAAATAATCGTTACATGGTTATCTACTTGCATTCCAGGTATTTTTCTTTTATTTTTTCCCCTGTTATATATAATTTAATCATATAAAAAATTTAATATTTCTTTTATTTTTATTTCAGTATTGGATCTATGAAGTTTTTCCTCAAATTGGACTACAATTCGGGCGTCGTATCCGTACACGCTTCCAGTGTCCACGAATGCATAAATGGAAGCCCGAAATAGTATTAACAGAACAAATCGTTAAAGAATTTTTGGCTACTCAACAGGTATGATTCATTTCAATTTACAATTAAATATGTATTTAATTATTTATAAATAAATTTAAAAATATAAATCTAACATTTTATTACAATTATAGATCACAATAATTGCAGTACTGAATCCTGCTGAAGAAGAATTAGAAACATTCCGGTATACAAATATTTCATTACCAGTTGACAACCAACACTGTATACTAGACAGCATTGTCAATGGTGAATCCAACAATATAACAGAACAAAATCCAGCTAATAACGTACATACGCAAGAAACAATTGTAGGTACTTCAACTGGAATTGGATTTGCTTCTTTTGAGAGCTCAAACTATGTAACTAAACAAGATATAGATCAAATGTTCAACATATACAGACAACAAGTAGTATCAGATGTATTTAGTTTCTATGACCGATTAAAAAAACAAATGATTGAAGAATCAACAAAACAAGAAACTCGCTATCTTGCCATTTTTGAACAGCAAGAAACTCACTACCAAAGGATTCTTGACAATCAAAAATAATTTTTTGAACATCAGCAAAAAAGCCAACAAGACTACTTCCATAGCATGTAATCTTATGTGGATACCAGTTTCAACTCAGTCAAATCTTTCATTGATGCACAAAATCAAAGTATGCAGAATCAAATATCCGACTGAAAATCACACATGGAAATGATTGTCAGCTCTATATAATGAGATATATCTCCTTGTGCAAGTCCAATTGAGTTTGAAATCCCTTTAACATCTGAACATATTGAAGACGTAGAAAGATTGGTGAAAGAAAAAAAGGTAAGCAAAAACAGACACAATCTTCATCAACAACGCCGATTAATACTTTAGAAGACTATAACATGAACAAGTACAAAAATATTATAGAATGGATATTACAAAATTCATCGGGGGAAGATATTTAATTTTACGTTGCTAACTTAAATATTATAATTTGTATTTTACTCATTTAATACTGATTTAAATTCTCTTATACACCGCATATTAGAATGATGGAATCGACAATCTATACGAAAAACAATCGCTAGAAAATATACTAGATGAAACGAAAAGTATAAATATTGTGGTAAATAAAATTTAATAATCATAATTCATTTTTCTCAATTATTCATATATCTAATTCACATTTTTTTCTGCTAGCATATTAATATAGAATTAAAGTTATTGAGAAGGCTTGTTACCGTCGATTCTCCGTTGCTTTCTAAAGAATATGCAATCATGGACCTTAAATTTGAAACTGAATATGTTCATTAGTATACAAATATGAAAGAAGGAATTGGCCATTCTGCAACTAATTTCAACGCATTACAACGATATATAAAAGGAGAATTGCCTGTATCTGCTCGACCGTGGATAACATACAACTATTTACTAATTCCATCAGCATATCCAGGCAACACTTGGTTTCTTTTTCTTGTTGATTTTCAAAAGTGGAAATTTCATATATATGATTATAGCCACACCATTCATATATCGGAAGAAATCAAAGCACGTGCAGAACCAGTAATGATTGCAGTCGAATCATTATTAATCTCTGCAGACATTTTCTCCATCAAACCAAGTTTGAGAAAACATAGAAATAAACGTATGAAATTGGAAATCATACCGTATCTACCTTGTCAAAAGAATGGATAAGCATCTCCACAATTTACTATAATATTTAATTTTTTATTTAATTTAATGTTATATTTACATACAGTATTAATATAATCTAACTTCAAACTATCTTTTCTATAGGCCAAATTCTGGAGTTTTCCTTCTCAAATACGTAGAATGTTTCGTTTTCGAATATCCATTAGAAGCAGTTTCACCAAAGAAGATAAGTTTGTACAGACAAAAAATTGCAACAAATATCTATCAAAATGAATATTTTCTACGTCCCTGTTTAGCCTAATTCTAACAAATTTTGAAAATATAGAAAGATTCTTAAAATACAGTAAGATTCTTTTGTCAAAATTCAATGCATACTCTTATATTTATAACTTTAAAATTATTTATTTTAAATATTTTTGTACATGGGAATAAATGTAGGTTGTTCAATAGCAAATACAACACTACTTAACACACAAGATTTCAAAGTGTCGGACTAAAGGCACAAATTATGGTATTTTGAGTAATTATCCTCTCTCTCTCTTTCTGGATGCATTAAATTTTTAGTTTAAAATTATAGAAAGTTTTTTAATATCACCATACTTATTTTTGTAGTGGACACCATACTATAAAAGTAATCAACTGCCAAATTCGAAAATGCTTAAACATGTTGAAAGATTATCGAAGGATACTTTGGGTGGTAAGCTTCTATTCTAAAACTTTACCTATTAATTTCATTATTGTCTATAAAACTACTGTAAAATCTCTTCTTGGAAGATCAATCTAACATTTAACCCCATAAAGATTAATAAATGGTAAGTTAGAGAAGAAAAAAATAAAAAAGATAGATTATACAGACGAAGGTATATTATTTAATTCCTCATCATGAATATGTTCTCATCACTTCTGACTAATGATATAATAAAAATTTATCCAACCTTCTATTATGTAGAATATATACCCTAATGTTCTGTTCAAAACATTTTACATAGTGTTATGCCTTTATTGCTGCTTTTGATCTACCTTTGACAATAGATTTTCCATGTCTCACATAATTGGATGGTTGCATTGTTTTATTTAGCTTGAACTTTATGAATTCATTTAATGTGTCATTGTTGCTTGATCTTCTACTGGCTAAATTCCATTTACTCCATTGTGAAGTTCTTCAAATAGAAGTTTATATACAAAGTTCGACTATGGGATGCAAACGCTGCTGAATGTTTAGGTAGCCTTAAAATTTGAGCATTGTGCAACAATGGATGCAATTACGAACCCCCTTATGAGTGGCAAGTCTACAAGTGACCTATTTCTTTTTCTCTTATAATAGCTTCATCTTATAAGTTTCAAAAATAGTCCCAAAAGTTCCCCGTACCATTTTCTTGTATTTTGCTGAAACTATATATATAATATAATGCAGGGTTTATTATACTTGCACTTAATTTTCAAGGTACATAGAGATATTAAAGGTAGTAATGTGTTGTTGACAGAGTTGAATATTATTTTACTATCTATGTTTACAAAAAGTTCTTGTTAATACTTGTGCATGTGGGTGATTAATTTACCTTATGGTTCTTGAAATCTTAAAAAGTTATTTAAGTTAGAACCTGCTATATATGCCAGTGCAAAGGTACTTTTATTATGTTTGTCTTCATTTATATCTCAATTGACATTATTTTTGCTTTGCTATTTCTATCAAAATTTTAACCAATATATTCAGGCTTTTTAATTGTACTACTATGAATGTATTCTGCTTATACCTTAATCATTCGAATGAAATAAATAACATGATGATAGAGATAGGACAAAGACTTGGGTTCATATTTGCCGCCACCAATTCATGATACTTTTGTAAGTGATATGCTGATGATAAAATGAATTCATGAAGCTTTTGAAAATCAAATTTAAATAAATAAATAAATGTAACCACTTCACAAAGGCCTAAAGTTTTGGATCACATGTTCACATAAATTTATTCATTTGCATTTTTGTTGTAATACATAAAATTTATCAATCCTTATTGATTTATGAAACAATTTATTTTATGTCAGATATAATTTTGTGCAATTTTCATGTCTGCTAAAATGATAATTGGAAAAATGAAATGAATCTTTAAATAGTGGAGACTACAATGTTATGCATATATGATTATTCACATTTCAGTTCTTAATTACAGAGATCATGGGAAAGGGTGAAAATGGCATCATTGTCGGATGAAGTTGGTAGAGCTACACTTCATTTTGCTCCATTTATGCTTATTTATAAATCAAAAGGCATCAATAAAATTATGTTAAAGTTTTGATTTTTGTGGTTTCTAATTGGGTGTTAATTTATTAATATAGTTGTAGCGATGAATAATAGTAACATTGTAAAATGCTATAAAGGATTTGACACGGATGTAATATTGACAACAGAATCATGTTAAATTGGTAAAATAAGTCCTTCAATCTATTGTGAATCATTGAAACCTGTGTTGGTTGGATATATTGCTAATTTTTTGCTTTTGTAAATATTCTAGGCACAGAGTATTGTAATGAGTACATCAAAAGCTTCGGAACAAGTACAATATTGTATTCAAATGGATGAACCTCTTATTAAACCTAAAATAATGGATGGCATGATAAAGGCTCTTCATGTAGTATTTATGCCATATGTACTTCTGGCAAATGGATTCAATAATACAACAAATAACAAAAAATGGAAAAGATAACGATAGTAAAGGTTGAGCTCATATTTTATTATCTTTTCTCTCCAACAAGATAGCAATCAATACTATCTCCAAAATGCGATGCCCAGTTCCTGCAATGAGCAATGGCGCATTACCAGTTTCTACTTGGTATGTCATTTAGGCCCACTCCAAACCATTTTACATCTAATGCTACTCATGCCTCAAGACTATATTATAGCATGTAGATACCACTAAGGAGTTCATGGTGATCAACTGCACATTGATTTATTTTTGTTGAATTCCAAAAGTTAGTGTTTCGTATGTACTTGAATGTTAAGAAAATCTCATTTGTGGGTACGAACCAATAATAAAGTCCCCAATGTGAACCAATCCTTGGTCATATAATTATTGTCAGATCACCCTTAGGGTGCCATGAGTATCAATACTTGGAGTTGTTCGTCTATCATCATTTAAGCTATTTTTATGGATTTCTCATGGTACTTTTGAATTGAAATGAAATTTAAATACTTTTCTCTTCTAAACATTGTCTTCTCATAATCCGTAAGACTGGTTCGAGAATTTGAAAGAAAAGCTCCATAAAGCCACCTGTGATTATTTATATGGAATTGATATAGTGCTAGAAAGGTGAATCCTCAAATTTTATAGTTACTTCATTTGGGGATTTAGGTATCTATTAAACAATTGTGAAATCATTTCTGTACCATAATCCTGTATTGAAATATCAACATTAAAGCTATTTTTTTTTACTACATTGCACCTTCTGTTGTATAGATGGATTTTTTTTCCATGTTCTCCTGATTGTGCTTGAATTTCTCAATTTCCACTTTATGAGTTCGAAATTAGAAGGCCTTGTTTGAGTAGCAATAATGAAATTCAAATCTTGTATAAATTATCACCTTCGATTGCGAAACTTACTGAGTATATATGTGTGTGTGTATATATATATTTATTTGTAAGGTTCTTCATTCTTCTTGATAGCATTATACACTCCTCTACAAAAGGTAAATGCTTTTTACCTTTTATCTTATTTATTTACTTATTTATTTTTCCATTGAAAGATACCACTAGAAAAGTTGTTCCTTCTAAAGCTAATCTCAATAAAAGGTCCGTTTCAAAATCCATAACAAAACTTATTATTTTGAACTACTTTCAATATTTTATAACCAAAGTTAACATATCTTCTACTTTTCTTCATATAGTTTGCTATTTATCTTTACTTTTTTTTTTTTTTTTGGTCAAACTTCCTTATGCACCAACTAAATATTTTATTCACTTCCCAAAAAATTATTCAATGTAATTCTCCCTCATGAATACTTAATACTCTAGTAAGTCAACACATTGATATCACCTTCAAAAAAATTCAAGCCATGCATTGCATGGCTAGAAACTTTTATATTTTAAAAGATAGTATAATATTCTTATATAAAGTTGCATGTCCTCAAGAACGATAACACTATGTTTCTTGAATATTATGAAATAATATCACAATATTCTTCTCAGATATTACAAAAGAATAACGCAATATTCTTGTGGAATATTTGTACAAACGAACAACTTACATTTAAACACACAACGCAAATATATGAATATTAATATTATACTTTCTTTCTAGAATATTGTAGATCATATGATATTTTTCGAGATTTTACGATTTCGAGAGTACAAATATTACTCGAAAATTAAAACTTATAAAATTATGCTATTCGAGAGCAATAACATAATATTTTTCATAATATTAATTTATATAACGTCCTTCTTCTAGATGATGATATTCTTTTATAATATTACTTTGTGTTCAATTGTCTTCTTCAAAAGAAACAAAATAATACTATTTCAAGATATTGTATGTCTTGATTTGTGCATTTCAGGAGCAATGAAATAAAGTTCTTTTGGAATAATTATAATTTAAAATAACTCAATGTTCTTTTAGAATATTGATTTTAAATTTTATACTTTTAATAATATAATAATTTTCAAGAATATTGGTGCATAAAAATTATGCTTCTTTGAGAGATATAATCTATCACTCTAATAAATATTAATCAGTAAATTTGTGTTCTTCAAAAGTATTAAAATATTAACTTGTATAACATTGTGAATTCAAAAAATAACTAAATAATATTTTGTAATAATATTTATATTTAATAATTTATACTTCTTTAGAGAGCAATAGTTGAATAAAAAGATTTAACATGTTCAAAGAAAATTCTATAGATTCAGCCCGTGTTTGATAACTCATTTTTTTCGAAATTCATTTTCAACCATTTGTTCTTCCAATAAAATATTTTATATGTAAACCCAAAATTTTTCATACTTGTAACTACACATTCTTAAAAAATTTACTATTACAAAATATATATATATATTTTTTTTTGAAAAAAGGGCTCAAACAGAGGCTATATACAACCAATCTTATAAAAAAATACTTAAAAATAAACTTGGATTTTTTGGTACAAAAAATCTATAAAACTTCAAGGAATTCATGAATTTTGCTCAATTTGGTATGTGGAAAACTTCAAGCATGCAGCTTGCAAGTCTTGAATAAAAAGAATGTGATACTTTATATTCAATTTTATAAATAAGAAGAACAATTATGCTGATAACATATTATAAACTAGAGAAAAAATTAAAGAAAATAGAAAGAGTTAATAATTGTGTGTGTATTTTATTGAGAACCAAAGTTTTACATTCATAGGTAAGAATAGAACCACGGAGGTAACAATAGTCATTATAATTAGGGATGCAATATTATCTTTTTTTACACACAAATCAGAAATATATGTTTTAAAAATTATTTTAAATATATTTTAAATATATTTTTTTAAAATTCCTAATCCCATTAATAGTGGTCATGTATATCTGATTTTTAATTTTTGAAATTCAAATTACACAATGAGATTCTTTCCATTTTAATGTTATTTGAAGAGAAACACAGAGTGTATTTGATTGACTTTTTTATTTTTATTTTTATATATATGAAAAATGTCATTTTTTTTTTACCCATGTTCTTAATTTTGACAGGTTTGATTGTCAATTTTTCCTTGAAAAATATTTTCTAAAAGTT